ATTATATAATATATATATCACTTAAGTATTACATAATTTGATTTAGGAATTAAAATGAGTACAATGTAACTGCTTAGATCAGTAATTTCCAAATATTTTTATTATACATACCACTATATAGATTACTAGACTAAAAATAACTAGGTTTGCTAATACAGATGCAATAGAGTATATTTATTTGTTCATAAGTATTATCTACATATTATTGAAAGAATTCATATTACACAAATTTAAAATATACACAGGAGAAATTAAAAATAAGGCAAAAGTGAAATGAATTATATTTCACATTATTTTATTAGTAACAATATAAAATTGTTTTGAGCTCACTTAATTTTTTTTAAAACATTCTTCCTTTTTAAAAAACCTTAAAAGACTTTATGTTGCAGTTTTAAAAAATCTGGGAGCTCAGCTTATTTTAAATTTAGTATTAATAAATTCTATATGTCTCAAATGGAAAAGTTATGTCACTGATTATACATCTTATGTTTTGAGATTTTTTAAGTCTCTATAATTATGAATGATTTTTGTCAAAATTCAGCTAGTAAAATTCATCTTATCCAACTAAATCTACTGTTATTGTTCCTGAAAAGTCATTAGAATACAGTCTATTTTTATATTTTTAGGAAAATGAATGCAAAATGCATTAGAATCTTTCATTTGTGAAAATGTTACACTAGAATATTCTAATTTAAGATTATTTTATGTACTTGATACTCAACGCATCAATTAAGAAAGCAACATCATGAAAGCATCGTTCCCTTTCTCATGTCCTCTTCTATAAGAAACTGCTTTTGAAAAATGACTTCTTTTCATTTATTGCTGTAATGGCACCTTTACTTTCAGGGGACAAATTAAATATAGTATGCTAAATAGTGCACTAGAACTGTAACGCTTATCTAAAGTTAACTTTGGAATAAATGTCTTTTGGCAAAAGTGCTTAGCTTATCTTTAAAGTCAACAATACATGCATAGTTGAGTGAAGGCATTAGTATGAAAACTCAAATTGTCCTGTTAAATATTAAGAAAATTAAATTTATTTTTCTTTTTTTGGGTTTTTTTTTTTTTTCCGGTACCGGGAATGGAACTCACGGCCTTGCATTTGCCAGGCAGGCACTGTGCCACTGAGCTATATCCCCAGCCCCTATTTTTCTTTAGATTAAAAATATGGCTAATATTTTCTTCCCTATTCCAATGGATCAGGTTGCATATCCCTTTGTGTACATACATTGGATATTTACCCATGTTACTTCTCAGATTCAAGCCTACCCTTCTATTCTCTGTTCAGTAAAGCTGCCAGTCAAGAAAAGCAACATACATTTTCCAGATTTCCTTGACGGTTGGCTTCCCCCGAGGTTCTGCAAACAGAAAGCAATAAAGCAGATTAGAATGCAGGAAGAGAAGAGGAATATGTTGGTATTTTTCTTGATTTCCTATTTACCATTGCCTTACTAGTAGGAATTCACCAGATTAGCAGCAGTTCAGTTTAGAAAAAGCAATTCATTCTGGATTGTAGCTTCTCTCAGTGCTCCAGAGTCACTCTCATCAGACCCATCAGAAGTCCTGGTAAGAATCTGGTGATTTTTTTTTCTTTAAGATCTGAGTGCTGTCTGCAAGGCATTCCTTGGCGTTTCCAGGGTCTGTAGCCCTAGATTTCCCTTCTCTTCTTCCAGCTGGTATACTAGGACGGCATCATGCTTCCTTAAAGTGTTATTTCTAGGTTAAAGTTTCTTCTTTTGTTCTTTCCTTCCTTTAACACTTGTGTAACCAATTCTTTATGTTTCATTCTTTGGATACCTAGTGTGGTTTCTATTTTTATTGACCCTTAACTGATCTAACTGATTTAAACAATAAAAAACGTTAGAGGGCCCCACCTCATTAATAACAGCAGCAAAGCAAAGATCACTGAATATATTAAAAACTTAAATATGAAAGACTGAGCTACAATTTGTAAGAAAACTTGCGGTCATAGCATTATGAATTATGGAAAAGGATTAAGAAAGAATTTTTAAAGAGGAAAAAAACCACAATTTTAAATGAAACAATTGATACATTTTACTATATTTAAGTGTAAAATGCTCATACCACAAAAGATACCATAAAGACAATTAATATGCCAAGAGAAGATACTTAGATGCATGTAGCTGATAAAGAATTAATATCTAGAATATGAAATAATTCTAAAAGCCATCAAAAACAGTCCAATGGAAAAACGAGTACATAAACAATTTTGAAAAGGACAATTCAGTGGCTAAAAAATAAAGCAATTCTCAATTTCAGTTGTAAATATAGGAATGCAAACATAAGCAACAAGATGATAACATTTCATCATGAAGGCAAATTTTAAGTCTGAAAATGCCAAGTATTGGCAATCACGCAGGGAAAGATGTCCAGCTGTGCTGCTTTAGTGTGAAGTATTCCATGTTCATTGGAATGTAAACTGTTTCAAGTTCTTTGGAGAACAATTTTGAGTAATGCGGTACAGGTGAAATTGTGCATATCCTCTACGCATACCCCAGCAACTCCAACTATACACTGCGTATAAGGAGACATTAGCTAGGATAATTGCTGTAACACTGCTAATAATAGTAAGAATTCTTCAAATTATGTAAATGTCCATTAACAGGGAAATGGATAAATATTCATACAGAAAAGAAAATGATAAAAAATAAATTGTGTTTCCCAACATGGAGAAAAGAAAATGCTTTTATTGAAAATTATAAAGATATAATCAATATGGTTTACAGGGAATAATGCATTTACTGATATAAAAAGAAACCTGGGGCGGGGTGGCCTCAAGGTGTGTCAATACAGCCTCTTTCTATTTTTCCCACATTTGGCTCTGCAATCCCGTTATTTGGATTTACTTTCCTACCAACTTCCTCAAAGCAGCAAAATAGCTGTCTCATTCTAGCTCTCATTCAGCTACGACAGCATTCAGCAAGAGATGAAACTGTTCTTCCTGTATTTTCTTTTTTTGTTTGTTTGTTTGTTTGGTTTTTCTCCGGTACCGGGAACTGAACTCACGACCTTGCACTTGCCAGGCAGGCGCTTTGCCGCTGAGCTAAATCCCCAGCCCCTCTTCCTCTATTTTCAAAGAAAAAATTAAAAAAAAAAAAAACTGCCAGCAACGTCCTGGTAGAATTCATTTCATTGAACAAAATTATTTCACAGGTCCCAGGATAGACCACTTGCAGAGAGGAATAAAATTACTATGACTGCTTCGCCAATTAGTCTTTAGCCTTAACCCACCTCTGTGACGCAGTGGAAACCTCACAACTAGGGTCTGTACTAGTAAGAAGTACAGAGGGGACAGTGGGAAGGCAACCACAAGCTCTATGATAAAAACAGTGCAAGATGCAGAAAGACATTTACAACTTGTCCTTGCAAACGGTTTTAAGCCGCTAAAGGCAATATCGATACTGAATAAAGACTCAAACATACAGTGAATGGCCAAACTCAAAAGTGAGTGTCTTATGTCGTAGTTTCGGGGCTGTCTAGTGCCCAGGCGGGGTCCTCTGAGCCGGGGGGCTCCGGGGCTCCGTTAGGTCAAGGGCAAGGAAGAGGGGCAAGATGTGAGGGAGGCGCCAGCCACAGACACACGTTTCACTCAGGAAAGAAGAAAGCATAGCAGCATGTTAACATCGGTTAACTCTGAGAAGAAAAGAAATCCATCATAACTTTGGGGTTGGAGCCCAGGGAGAATTTTGCTGTGTTCAAGTTTCTATGTGTTGACTGTCTGGCTTTTTTTTTTTAAGGAAAGCAGTATTCCAAAGTTCAAAATTGGTACATTTTTAACCCAAAGCAAATATATTTACTTTGGCAAAACTTGGAGATTTATGAATGATGATTACAATTATCAAAATGTTAGAATTTTATTGCTACAATTCCGGAAAGCCCTTCCCCAGCATGGATTCCCAGGCAGAGGTGAAGGTAGCTTTTGGCCATTCTTTGCTGGTTTGTTTTGTGTTATTCGTTTCTGTAAATCCCTGGGGAAGAGGTGAGTGCCTATTTCCTTCCTAAACTAACCTCGCTTCTGCCCAGACCCTAAAAGGTTATATGTGAGCGGCACCCATGCCTAAGCCTTGGAAAATATATTGCAATTGGTCATAAATGATCAAAACCCCGATTTCCCGACTTTTTTTGTGCTGGGGATAAGATCCAGGGTTGCTCACATACATGGGATGCACGTGTTCTGCTCCACCCTCCTACACCCCGCAATGTAAGTAGCTTCTGTAAGATAAGGAGAAACAGACTCATATAGTGTCTTGTCCATAAATCTCAGTGATGCCCAGTAAGGACCAATAAGAAAAATACCTTTTATTTTAGTGATTAAAGCTTCTTAATGTTTGGAAACTAGCACATGATTAATAAGGGCCTGCTGGCTGATTATGTTGGGTCATCAGTATTCAGAAAATCCAACCAAAAATATCCCCAAGGAGCTGCAACTAGCTGGTAACTCTTCGCTTTACATTCCTGAGCAGTGGCATCTGGACACCTCTTCACCTTTGGAAATACTGTTGTTGGGGAGAGGTGGAAAAAACCCCAGAGCTGCAGCCTTCCTCAGGCCCCCTTCCTCAAATGGCTCACCAATCCACTGGCGAGAACTAGCCTTACTGAATACGATGTTGGAAGCCCAGGTTTGTTCTGAACTAAGAGGAGTTCCTTCTTTCCCTACTCATTGTCTATTTCCCAAAGAAAAATGAAGGGCTATTTCAACATTCCATCTAAAGACATTGGTAGATAACCCTCTTCATGAAAAGTTCTGGCACCATCCCTGATGTCAAAATACCAGATTAAAGAAAAGTCAATTCTGAGTCATAGCACAGTATTGTCTCAGTTGCTCTTACCAAGAAATAAAGAGGTGTCCTTTATCGGTTGTACTCCATGCACTTACAATAGTTCTGTACATATTAGTTCTGCTTGCTGTTTAAAACATATCCTTGTACTTCTGAAAGTGTGTGTTGATGAACGTTACAAGTTTGCATCATTAACCTTTGGAAAGTGCTGCAGTTTGGTGGTTTTTAAGAGCACTTTAGTGGTGGGTGTAGCTTGAATGAGGCAGAAGAAAGATATTAGAGGTTGTTCTGGAGATAAGGATAATAGCACTATTTTTCACTTAATTCAAAAGGGATATGAAAAGAGGATCTCTACTGTTGACTCACCCTAAGTGAACTTTGTTTTCCCTGCAGAGCACACAGACTTTTTATGCCTACCGAGTTGCACCAACGCTTGAGGGAATACTTATGTCAGTGTTTCCCTCATTGAGGGGAGCTTGATCAATGCCCAACCAGAATTAGCCTTGGATTTCATAAAAAGGGAGTAGATACAGTTTAAATGTAATTGTTACTTATAGGAAAACCTATAACAGCATTCCTTAGGTATTGTCTACAGCCTTCCTCCTAAAGCTCAAAATACTTTTTTATGTAAAATATTTCTTTACGTAACTTCTGTAAGTCAGTGGTGGGTTTTAATTATTTCTTCATGTTCCATGCAAATAAGTGAAGCCTTCGGAGATATTGTCTCAGGTAAAATATAGGAGAACTGTTTTCTGAGTATTTGAGCTGCCATCAGGCTTTGGCAGGCCTGCGCTTGACTTCTTGTTCTATTAAATACTTACTTGGCTTTTACAGTGCAGTGGCGCATGTCTGAAGTTGTTACTAAATGTAACAACCACATTTGAACACCAGGGTGCAGCTAAGAAAATAGTGATCATAGTGATGCTGTCATTGTGCAAAGGCCTTTCTAGTGAAGGGTTGACACTGTGTTCATACTCAGCTGTGCTGTCTAAGGCATGCCAGTCTTTAACTTTACATCAACGGTTTAGCTCACTGTAGCAGTTATTACCAAATATTCCAGGTCATAATCCTCGGAGAGGGAGAAATCAATAGAGGATCACAGAGAAAGTGTTTCCCTACCACAGTTCTACTATCTTGTCTTTGTGGGATTTAGCTCAGCAGTTCCTAACCAGAGGAGCCTAGATCTCCATATTATTACAGCAGTTCCTAACCAGAGGAGCTTAGATCTCTATATTATTAAAGACAGAAATAAAAAGTCAGAGTTATTTCTAAAAATTTGAAGCCTTTAAATCACATAGTTTCTCATCCTTGTTTTGCTTTCTAGGTATACGTGCATTTCCCTATGGCTTACGTTTCATGGACACTGTGTTGGGTTTTCACCCAGTGAAGTCAGTCTTAAAGGTTAAGTCAGTCTGAAATACTGCCTTACTAGGCACAGCCCACAATCTGCCACCAGGCATATGGCAAGTGTAGCTCAATGATAACAGTAATGTGCACTTCTGTACCAAGCTAATCCCCAGACAAGGCCAGCCTTGTAAAATGTAAAGTCTCCACCTGACAT